AGCCTGAATGAGATCAGGAAACAGAAAGAAATTGGAAGGGATAGTTAATGAGCTTCCCAGCTCCACTGGGGCCTTAATGGGACTCTGGTTCCAAGCAGACTAATAGGCAAAGGAACTTTCTTTGGACTTTTTAAACTTGGCTGCTGGAAGGAATTTTGAAGGTCATTCAACTGTTGAAGATTATTTTAATTTCTGAAAGTTGAGTCTATCAATTAGTATCTTGGATCAAGGGGCTCTCCAGTGCTGGCGACTGCTCACTTGGCTAACTCAAGTAATGAACTCCTGTAACACACGTGTGCCAACGTGACATCTCCAGCTCTCTCTCTGTGACACACGTGTGCCAACGTGACATCTCCAGCTCTCTGGCGCCTTTGTCATCGGTGCACTTAGGCCGTTGGTAGATGTGCTGAATCCAGAATGCTAACCAAGCTGCATTAGATTTCCAACACCTTTGTAGTTTGTTGTTTTATGAGCCAACTCTAATGGAAGATTTAAAGCGACTGCTAAGAGGATAAATCCAGTTATTTAAGAACGTCCCTTTTTCTCCTCTAATTATTTTTATCTAATCAAACACTTCACTAAATTCCCAGGAGTTCTTCATGAACTCAGTGTTCACTGAGAGATGCGAAAGATTGCTAACTGGGGCATAACGTCTACATGACCGCTGCCCACACCAAGCACACTGTAGAAACAACACGTGCTTTCCAAGGGTCAGTGTCAGCTAAATTGAAAGACTCTCTCCCACAAGCGAGAGGTGCTTACTTTTATTTCCTTAAGGATTTCATACTTGCATTTTTAGTTTTCTATCCTAATTACTATGTTTTTCAGGTGACTGTGCTACATATCTGATATACTACACATGGGCGTATATAATTCTGTAACTGTACTGTGCAGAGCAGCGCCATCTGCTCTGGCCCTCGGGACTCTACATCCTTACTCTCTGATCCGCTACCACCATTTACTCTCACATATCGTCTTCTAGGACCTGTTAAACATGGCTTCCTCCTCCTCGGAGTCTGTATTAGATATTGATACATTTAAAAATCACTCCACAGCTGAATGACCAGTGAACAGAATGAATCTGGTCTTGTACTGTTTCTGAGGTTCAGGAGTTTGAGCAGACTGGGCCAGAAGATTCCTGGGTGGCATGTAAAGTTATAGTCAAGAGGCCAGCCAGGGACAGAGTCACGTCTGGGATTGCCTTGAGTCGGAAGGTTGACTTTAGGGATTGTGGATGACAGCACAGTCATCGTTGGCTGTTGCCTAGAGACCCTGGTGTTTGCCACACGGAGTGCTTCATCCGGCTGCTCGAGTATCCCCACCACCTGGGATGCTTGTTGTTCTCAAACCTGACATGGAGGAGAGAGCAAGCAGCAGCCAGCCACACTTGTGAGAGCGTGAAGTCATAGGCGCTTTTGTTCATTTTTCTTGTTTTATGAGCAAAGCCCCTTTCGATGTGAGATGGAAAGGAATTAGGGATGGTTCCTTCTAAAGCACTGTAGGAACTGCTTACCATTCAGACTGCTGAGATTTCCTACGACTCTAATAAAACTTGGTGTTCTGCCCTGTGTTAAGATGCGTGTGTCCCTCCTCTGGGCACTCTACAGACTGTGTGACCTTGAGACTCTTTGCACTTATTCCCTATTATTGTGCCACTTCAAGTTTCCGATGCACGGATTTCAACACCCGTCACCTCCACTGAGCATCTGGGACCACATCTTGTGCTTTAGCCAGATGGATAGAGTTCCAGGGCCGGGACAGATGGAGAAACAGAGGAAGGATGGGGCAGTGATGGAGGAAACATGGGGTAGAATGGATTTAAGTACACAAACTACTGGATATATACTCAAACACCGTGGCATTTTGGTAGATACTAGAGAACAGGGTTTCCAGGTGAGCAACACCACACAATAGTTCCCACCTTGGCTAATATATGGAATGGCTTACCGTAGATTTTATTTTGCTGAATCTCCTTCAGTTGTGCTGAATATTGTGGGAAAGAATGGTCTGCATATCATTCCTGTAACAAAACAGGGAGTCGGGGCTTACAAATAACTCGGCAGTAATGTCAAATAACATGTTTGCAATTATTTTTACATAAGATTGAGAACCTTATTTAACCTTTAGTTAACTACTCTGTCACCTGACTCAGGGGTAAAATCATTTCTAGATTGATCAAGTGACATTTATGTATAATTTGATCAAAGGGCACAGAAGAACATCGGGACCCATGAGAAATAAGTCCAGGCTTCAAAATTGCTACTCCTGCCCATCTTTTGTTCCCATTACTCAGTCCAGCTCCTAAGAAAGTCAGGCCAGAATTCTGAAAATAGCTCCAAGAAGTCCCCAATACTTTAAACTTTCTCAAAGTTAAACTCATTAGAACTCCCGTAGAAGGTTCAGAAACTGGCTCCATCTGTTTGGACTGTCTTATCAGAAAACTGAAGCCAGGCAGTTTATGGTCAATAGGAATTTATTTCTTAAAGTTCTTGAAGTTGTGAGGTCCAAGAGCTACTAGGAGACTTGGTGTCTGTCTCACCCACGGTGCCTCTCTGCCTTGAGTGGTGGAAGGAGTGAGGGGCTCCTTGAGGTCCCCTTCACCACCATGCTAACACTAAAAAGTGTTTAAGAAGAATTTATGTGCTGAGACTCGTGGATGGCAGAGCGTGGGCAGACTGGTTTGATTTTACAGACTGGTTTTGCTTCCTAGATTCATATTTGAAGCTCCCCTTTAGGGGTGTTCTCTACAGGAAACTTTACACATGTTCTCACAGTCTCGCCAGTACCTGTCTGTGCTGGTGGCAGGTTAGCAGTCTGAGGCTTGATCTACCATAGCACCACCACCACCATAGCTGAAAGCATCCTTCTCGTTGCCTATCTGTGCAGGCAAAGATGAAATGCAGCTGCTGCATAAATCATACTTGGCATGCATGAATGCACATGAAGTAGGTGAAGTTTGAGAGAAGGAAGTATCGTATAGTCCTTAGAAGGAAACTTGTTGGCAGGGCAAGAGTTAACTGCGGCCCTGGAGGTAGGAATCAGACCGGAAGCGGCTGTGGTGTGTTCAAGGAGGAAGCTCATCATCACACTCAGACACATTTAGGGACTCACGCTCAGTATAAGCTGACTGTGGATTTTAACACACCAAGGGGGTGCTTTTCCACTTTCTGTGCTAGGTGCTGCTTTGAAATAAGTGAGATAACAGAATCATTTAAGCCTTGTAGTTGTTAAGAAATTATCTGCTATAATGCTCATACTTAATCTTATTTTTTTTTCTAGGAAAAGGACTTTTCTTTAAGCAAATGCAAAAAAGCAGACCTTGTAAAGCTAAGAACTGGGTGTGAAGGAACATGTTTGTATTCTGTCTTTACATAGGCATAGGCTTATCTAAATTGACTGCAAGGCAATTTCACTATTGAAATTGGCTTGGGAATGGTCTCAAATTAATACAATCAATTTGTCTACTTCTTCCCATAAGCACATGGGTTCATTTGTCAGCAAAATAATCTGGCTTTCTAGGAGATTTATCTTCTTATAAAGTCATCTATAAACTTTCTAACTGTATTAGTTACTTCTGTATTAGTTTGATCGAATACTAGGACTAAGAACAGCGTGAGGATGACAGAGTTTATTTTGGTGTGTGGTTCCGTAGGGATAGAGTCCGTCATGATGAGGAAAACATGGCATGGAAGCAGGAGCAGGAAGCTGGGTGGTCACATTTTTGTCTGCACATAGGAAGGGCAAGATAGAGAACATGAAGTAGGTCGAAGTTATAATTCCTCATAGACCGCCCACAGTGACTGATTTCCTCTAACAAGGCTCCGCCTCCTAAAGGTTCCATGACCTCCCCAAACAGTGCCACAAACTAGGGACCAAATGTTCATGGGCCTTTGGGGGCATCTTTCCTTCCAATCAAGACACAAGGCAATCCAAAATTTTCAGGATTTTTATATATTGATTTATTATTAATTCTATAACCACAATTTGAGAAATTGAATATTTTCATAAGATGAAGGTTATGAAACCGGAAAAAATCCTGTTGGTTATCTCCTGCTTTTAATTTCCCCTTTTCTGTTTGACTGGCTGTTGGGCATAGCTTTTTTTGGTCCAATGGCCAGTTTCCTTTTGACTTTGTCAAGTTCTGGTATTATATATTATTATAACTACATTCAAGAGGCAAAGTAAAAATCTGCTTCTGTAGGAACAGCAGTGTAACATAAAGGCAGTGTCCACCGCACGGAGGGCACAGTGGATAAAGAGAAAGAATGTGTCCCCATGCTGTGTGGTCAGTGTGCAGTCAGGGAGGAGTCAGAGAACATAGATACCGGGGCTATCTGCATTATCTCCTTACAGATGTGAGGAGTGAGCAAGTTCATTGAAAATCAGAGCAGACTTCTAGCAAAAGATGATGTTTAATCTCAGGTTTAAACAACTGTTTAATAAACCTAATGACGTTAAATATGAATTAGCACAGTCATTGTTCTGAATAGCTAAGGGAGTGCCCCCAGTGTAGGGTATCACCCTGGAACTGAGGTTGGACAGCTGCAGTATTGGAACAGAACATGCCCAAAGCAACCCTATTGTAAATTCTATCCACCATGGAGGTCCCATAGGTGTAGTGGCATTTCATTTGTATTTTAATAAATAAAGCTTCTCTGAAGATCAGAGAATAAAACAGGCCCACTGGTCAGTCTTAACAGACCAGGAAGTAGTAACATCCATCTTTAAACCCTGTAGCCACACTAGTTGCCATGGAAACTTGGCGATGCACGCCTTTAATCCCAGCCCTAGAGAGAATTATAAAACAGGAGGAGATAGTTCTCACTCTCAGTCTCATTCTGAGATTCCTGGAGGCAGGAATGCCATTTTTGGACTGAGGTTGAGGTAAGAGCCAGTGACTGGGTGCTTTGCTTTCCTGGTCTTCAGGTTGAACCCCAATATCTGTCTCTGAGTTTTTGTTGATCATGCTTTACATAGGAGCGTCTTCTTTGTCTGTGCAGGAGCCCCGTCCTGGTCTTCCAGTGTAACCACCGCCACGTGATCTGCTTGGACTGCTTCCACTTGTACTGTGTCACCAGACTCAACGACCGGCAGTTTGTCCATGATGCTCAGCTTGGCTACTCCCTGCCGTGTGTGGGTAAGACGAGCTCTTTATTCATTCTTATCGCTTAATACTAATAAATAACAGGAAAGCTGTTGAGATAAACTGTTTGAGTTATGCCTGATCCTGGCCCAAGAGTTGAAAGCTTAAACATGGTCAGTGCCAAGGAAGAAACTTTATCAGGTAAATCCCAGGAGACACAGAACTCCAGGGAACTGTGCTACACTAGACTATGTGCGCCGCACTTAACAGCACTGAAAATAAACTTGGAAACTATTCACCCAAGCTATTAAATATGCCTATGGGTTTGGATAATGAATTCTGGATTTGTTACTCTGTGCATAGAACAGTTTTGTCCAGATGTTTCTGTAGAAGAGTCTTTCACCAGTGGTTTTGTTACTCTGTATATAGTGTGGTTTTGTCCAGATGTTTCTGTAGAAGAGTCTTTCACCAGTGGTTCTGTTACTCTGTTTATAGAGTGGTTTTGTCCAGATGTTTCCTTAGAAGAGTCTTTCACCAGTGGTTTTGTTTCTCTGTATATAGTGTGGTTTTGTCCAGATGTTTCTGTAGAAGAGTCTTTCACCAGTGGTTCTGTTACTCTGTCTATAGAGTGGTTTTGTCCAGATGTTTCCATAGAAGAGTCTTTCACCAGTGGATTTGGTGTCTATCGATTGTCTCCTGTGCTTGTTGTCTAAACATTCATTTCCGTGTCTACCCAGTCCTTTGTTTTCTTCTGTTTTTTAAACTGGGTTACTTGACGTTTTGTTGTTTAACTGTGAGTTTCTTGAGTAGGAAGGGCCCTTGCTTAAGCCTGGTGACTTGAGTTTTATCCCAGAGCCTGTAATGTTAGGAGAGAACCAACTCCAAGTTGCCTTTGACCTGTTTGCACTCAGTCATGACACACATGCACGTGCAGTCATAATAAATGGAATTTTAAGATAGCTAGATACTGGATTTTACAATTTGTTGTTAACGTTTATCCTCTTCTATAATATATCTGTTTACCAACAATTTTGGCCAAGTGGAATTTCTCGATGTCTTCTGTTATTTTCATGTCAAATGTTACTCATTGCCGTATCTGAGATATTGGTAATTTACTTCTATGATTTTCTTGAATGGTTGACCTCTTCTATTAAGTTACCAATGCATTTTGAATTGCTTTTTTGTGTATTTAGCATGTTTGGTGTCCCTGGATTGCCGCATATATGGTATAATAGCTATAAAGAGATTGAATTGCCCCACTGATTAGAATATTGTCACTAAACACTTAGACACCGTGGCACTTGACTCAATGGTTAAGTTTGCATTTTGGTTTATTTTCTTCTTGGCTTTAGTGTGAATCTTAGCAGACATGTCTGTGCCTCTGAATGACACAGATCCACATGGAGAGTCTAATGCAGCGTTGACTCTGCAGTCATGCTGTCCATTCTTTAACGCATTTTATCTGTCGTCAGTCATGAAATGAGGCTTTATCACAGTTTACATATATGTGTATCAATATATGGATTAAAATAAACTGAAACATATCATGCTTTTATAATTTTTAACAAAAGCATCAAAACCCAGAAAGTCGTTTGCGAATCATCACTCTCCTTCCTTTCCATGTATGTGGGGATGGTGCAGACAGTGTGCGTGTATCACAGTGCACATGTGGAAGCCAGAGGATAGCTTAAGGGGCGGTTTCTCTCTCTCCACCACATGGGTGCAGGGATTTCAGGCACCTTTACCTGCAGAGTTATCTCGCTGACCCCAGTAGCCTTAACAAAATCATTTTCCTCACTAAGTCTCCGACTGTGGAAATATTTCTTAAGTACCACTTTTAAGACCATTTCATCTCAAGCTAAGTTCATTCCTTCATGTTTCTGAAATGCCAGTCTGGAACTGTGGGAAAGTTCGGACATGCAGAAATGAAGAACAGAATTATAGTGGGACTCAACGGACCTTCTGCTCACGCAGTACACAGGGTGGCACCTTCTCCCTGGGGCCCTCGCACAATGCCTGGAACCAGCCATTTCTGCAGAAACTCTGGGGCCCACCAGTGGAGGCTGTGTTTGGAGGTCAGAGTCTGAGCTCTCCAGGGACACGTTTGCCCTTGGGTTTCTCCCTATTTTAGCCTAGCTAAAGAAAAGCTAGAAAACATATTTTTTTAAAGATACAAATTGCAATGTTAGTTTATAAGGGACTGTTTTTGGCTCGGATACAGGCTTGCAGAATTTTTCTGAAATTCACCAATATTGCAAAGATAGTTCATTTTTCTCTCGGCCATAATAATAATGATCCCTCTTACTGAGTGACAGCTGGGTCGCTATGCAAGCGCAGTCTCTTCAGAACCTTGCCTTTTCCTCAATACTGGGCATCATTATACCATAGCAATACCTCCTATATAAGACAGACTCCCTCCACCCTTCCCAATAGACCACCACCGAGTCCCAGTGTGTGCACAGTCTACGGTTTCCCTTATTGTTGAGCACATAGTTTCTTTCTTTCTTTATTACAAACCCTTCTGTGACTAGTTGACTCTTGCGGGCAGACATTTCCCTGCTGCTATGGGGTGTCCATGAAATAGGTTCCTTGTAAGAGGGGGTTGCCCTGTCGAGTGGTCGAAGGCAGAATGTGTGTTTATTTCACTGTTTCCCATGTCTCCTCTTAGACGCTACAGACAGGCTCTCTGCCACCTCCCCACTGAGAGGGAGGAGAAATTTTTCTAATCACGTATTTGAGAAATGAGAGTTTCTCATTGTTTTGCTTTTTTTTTTTTTCTAATTTCTGTCTTTCTGTGTGTCTAAGATCTGCATTTGTTTTTCTCTGCCATTTGTAAATCAAGAGGTGGGTTAAATGAATGCATTCCGTGAGGCGTATTCTACACAGCACATCACTGACAGCCCCATATAATCACAGCAGTGGCCTGCAAGGTTAGATCTCTGCTATTGTTTTATATAAAGGATGCATGTAAATTAGCCTCAGTCTTGCTAATTATTTGTCACCGACAGCTAGGAGCTGCGCAAGGACCGCCCCGCCTGGCCAAGCTCCCATGCTGAGCTGTGTTATTTAGGCTCTGCTGTACTCTAATGCCTGACTGAAAAATTCCATCTTTAACTAAGTATGGCAATGAGGTTGAGGTCCTAGGAGCTGCAAACCCTGGAGTTCATCTTCTTGTTTTCATAGTGAGCGAGGCGGGACATTAATGAGCTCCAAGTTCCCTCCTATAGCCTGTGAGTGCTGCTTCTCCCGTGTCAGTTATTTAAACATGATACTCAAAAACTCGCTTTATGTTTGAAAGAGTCTCCCTAGTCTCGAGACCTTACTTTCCCCAGCATGTCTTCCCTATCACATTTCCAAGAAACGATAAGCCCCGTATTGGGTCTGTCTTACTATTGAGAAAGAATGAGGCAAATAACCATCAGCGGCGACGTTCCTGTCACTTGGCTGTGAGTGAACTCTCCCCTCTGCACAGTCCATTCAAACACCGCTGTGTTTTTGTGCACGTGACCATGTCTTCCCAAAACTATCCACTTCATGGCAGTATCTGTTCTTGTGTATTATGTTCGCTTTTCCAGCAGTAGACCTGATGCTGTTTGTACGTGCTTTCCCACATGATGTGAGCAAGACTCCGATGCCGCTAGGTGTTTCCTCATTGTGTGGAAACCAGCTGCTCAAGCGGACATTCTTTGCATATATTGCTTGCTTGGTTTAAAATCATAGAGCCTGGTGCGTTGGTTCCTCATTCTTCACTTCATCAGAGGAAGACTACACACTCCATCTGGAATCCTCTGTAAAGGGCGGTGCTCCCTGAGTCCTTGGCGTTGCTGTTTTCTCTTTCTGTTTATTGACTCTGCTTTAGAGACAAGTCATTGGTAAATGAACTCTTCAAACTGGCTCAATGGTTTATGCCTAGTATAAGTATGCATGGTAAAATGTAAAGGGTTTTCTGATGCCCAGGAATAAAATTCGGTCACCCTGCTAGGGTGTATACTAGTTACGTTTTCTGTTGCTGTGTCAACATACCTGATCATAGCAACCTAGAGAAAAGTTAATCTTTGGCTCACAGTTTGAGGGGACGGTCCATCCTGGTGAAAAGGCAGGGAGGCAGAATCCTGAGACAACTGGACACTTTGCGCCTGCAGTCAGGAAGCAGAGTGAAGAGATGTCAATACTGAGCTTTCTTTCTCCTTTGTATCGAGTCCAGGTCCCCAACCCACGGAAGGGGTCTTCATAGTTCAGTCAGCCCTTCCTGGAAATGTCATCAGGGACACACCTAGTGATTCCTGGCTTCTGTGGCGACTGTAGACAATCAAGATTAATCACCATAGGTCATGTGGTTTCTGTTACATGGAAGTTAATGTGGCTGAGACTTCACCCTTTGTAGGTCTCGTGACAAAGTCCATCTGTGCTGCCCCTGCTCTGTTGCCTGCACTCTTGCTGGAGCCAATTTGCAAACCCTGGTGGACATTTCAGTCACCTCTGGCTCTTTATAGCTTCCTGTGCCCCGGGCCACACTTGAGCACAAGTTGTAGGCCACTGGAGTGTGGCCAGGCTAAGTCAGCCATGAGTGCGAAGGCCTCTGCCTAGGTCTTTGATGTGCTAACCAGCACAGAGCTTTCGGTAAATGTCACTGGAGTTAAAAATGAGATCGTCAGACACAGGCAAACAGCCTGTTGCCAGAACCTGCGACAAACTTTATATACAAATAGGGGCTCTCGGGGAAACCACTTAGTGCGTCTGAAGTATCCGCTGTCTTTCTGCCGTACCTGTGGTTATGAACATTGCATGCTGGGAACTTTTTGAAATGTCAGTGGACCCTCTCAGCGTACTCTCAAGGCCAAGCGCTCACTAAGTTGGTGGCGCTTCAGAATTTGGGCTGATTTATTGTAGAGCTGGTGAGGGGAGGGCTGGGAATGAGACACAGATCCTTCCTGCTCCTGAACACCGGTGTCTCGTGACCTGGGGTCCCCTAGGAACGGTGCCCATCTTCCCAATGTCATGCCCTGGATATTGCCATGATTAACAAGTGTTTGGGGTTGGGGTTGCTATTTTGT